CCTGCATAGAAGTATGTGACATTTCAGAACACGTCCCTAACATGCTATGTGAAGTCAATGACACGTCACCTATTCCTGGCCCACTGTACCGAGTACCTACGCTACATCAGCACAAAGAACATTCGCAAACGACAGGGACTTTGCTGTTCAAATAGCAACCTTAGTCCCACTAAGTCTACTGTAGCTGCGTTGTAGGTGACTGCAATGCGCTATTTTCTATTTTTCTAGCCAACGTATCTTACAAAAATGTAGTGAAAATGACGAAAATATCGAAAAATGCAGTCTGCAGTTGTGTTCCCTGCGGATCAAGGGGCTTGTCAGTGAGACTGCTTGGCCCGCCGTCAGCCCGTTCGCTACCAGTTGTTGAGGGGGTAAGCGACCACAACTGGTGGAAAACGACTGATGCGAACGATAAGATGCAGTATTATCGCCTACTGAAAGAAAAAAAAGAAACAATACGAGCTGGCGCCGCGCTAAACTCATCCCCTTGGCACGATCCATCATTCGAAGCGAACGAAACTGTACTCACCTTCACATCGTCTTCCAACAAGCCACTTGCAACAGAATTCACTCGCAAACCCAGCTCGAAACAACTTAGCCGCTGTCCACTTAGTTTGTCCAGTGCCTGTGTGGCTTGTCGACGGGCAATTTCTTTGGACGTCATTGCTACGCCATCTTCAAGTTCCAGCACAACACAATCAGCCTAGATATTTTCTTAGAAGTATCTTGCATCTCATCTTAGATCGTTGGTATCTTACAAGTAAGTACAAATAGAAAAGCGAAGGAGTTTGATGACTAACATTAGCCCAATTTGGACCCATAGTCCAATACGTTAGGTGTTTCACGTCACATCTCATGACCATCGCTGACGTGAGTAAGGCACGTCGTACATATTGGATCCCCAGTGAAGGGATTAATTCGTACGGTGGAGGAAGGAAGGGGTCATATTTTGCAAGAACTTTCCCTCAACGGCAGGATGTGTCCTGGACGTGGGGGGAGATGGAACTTCGTGATGATCGAATTTTCGCGAAAACCTTTTCAGCAGAAGAAAGCTGGTTTTCCCCACACTAAAGTTTCTTCAGCTAGCCGTAAGCCAAAATTTTTGTATCTTCAAAATAAAAAAAAGAAACGGCGTGGAAAGTTTGTTGGCCATTCCATTGGCATGTCATGAGAGGTGGTGCGAGGTTGTTTTAACCTACTAAACAACAGACCTATATTGGACCCAAAAAAGATATCATGGCAGTAATACTCACTTTAATGTTTGGTACTTTATCAAGCATCTTCTGATTACTGGCAGGGACATAGAGTAACGCACGACGTGGTACATATTTTACATGATCCCTAACGCCAGCAAATTGTGAAGAGCGACGTAACGTCCTTAGAGCCAAGCCCACAACCATCTAAACAAAACCGTCACTGAAAAATGACAAATGAAAATGAAAAAAAAACTATGAAATGTAGAAAATATAAAATAAATGTTATAGAAGCAACGACAACTAACACCAGGAGATTGTATCTAGGGTAGTAGTCAAGAAATGGAAAAATGACAAGTGCTCAAGCAGTGATCACCTTCTAGTTCTTGCTCAACCTTCTTCTTTGGGAAAAAAGAACCCGTATCTATCTGCGACAAAGAAAGTAAAATGGGCGTGGATCTGCAGGAGGGAGGGGCATATTGTCCAAAACTGGGATTGACGTAATGGAGATGAGGATACCTGCCTACATAAGTCTAGATAGAGAACGAACTTGTGGTTGATGAACCAGTTTCTCTATGCAAAATGGGGATTTTACAATATAATCATCTCAATTTAACATAAGAAGTCTTCCAAGACTTCTGGGAGTGTTTTCATACTTTGCGTCAGCGTTTTGAGCAGTTTTGGCGACTACGAAGGTATAGGCAGCGAAAACGCTCGAAAAGCTGCTGTACGCTCAAAACGCGAGATTGACACCTGTACTTACCTAGTTGCTAAAAACGCTCAAAACAACGGCGTTCAGAACGCTTCCGTACGCTTAAAACGCTTACGAAAAGTGTACACGCACTCTAACAGAGTTGCCCCGAGAAACTTCCGAAGGGGGAAGCCCCCAACTCTTGAAGATAAACATGTGTTCACAATTCTAGGACATGAAGCCTCAACCCTACCAAAATATTGCTCACCTCAACTCTCGCAGCTTGTGGACCACTACTGATTAATTTTCAGACGTCCGGTATGCAGACACTGGACGGCGAGAGATGATCTGGTTCTAAAAGTCATGTTTCATGATCAGATGACAGGGTTCAGAGAGGCTGAATAACTTCACTAGAAGACCGCTTTAGCAAACTGAAGGAAAAATATGCGAAAAGGATATTTAGGCAAAAATGGTGCCGGTAGTGTGTGGTCGTCACGTGTTTCTCATCTGTAGCGCTATTTTCTCAAGTCTTCCCTGACTGTCCTGTGCTGTTTGCCTTTTACGATTTGGGAGTACACTTCGTTATCTTCAAAAGGCGATCAAACAAACAAACAGTGTTATTTTCAGAAAAGGGAGAATGATAACTCGGCAAGAAAGAACGCAAGAGCCAGCACAACGGGTAGGAAGACAAGATTAAAGAATCGCTTCCTATCCGCTAGTATCTTTCCCTAACAACTGGATTATACGTGAATCTAGGTGAACCCTTCCCCCCCCCCCCCCGATCCCACCTACTAGTGGACGGGCGTCGGCTTAGACATTCGTACTTTGACGCACAGTGATGTGAGCGACAGAGATGGCGATGAGTACTGTATTTTTCTAAATAATTTGCGTCAACCTGTCCACTGGAGCACCAGGTTTCATGTAGACTGCTACCTCGTATACATGTGGAACTACTTTTTGATTATACATGTCTGTTTATCGCCATCGGTGACCCAACAAACAGCCATGCGGGCATGACGTCGCACGCGACACCCACCGGTTACGATATGTCTTGTCACATATTCCAAACCAATTCCGTTATGCCTGACTCATCCATCCAAATGCGTAGCCTGTATATCGGGTTCACACCATCTTCATTTCTGTTCATACAGTCTGCTGTGACCTGGTGTTAGAAGGGGAGTATCCTTTCACAGAATTAATGGGAATTGTGGCGGTGGTAGCAGTTACCTATCCAAGTCCATACCTAAAAAAGGGCATACGCAAGTTGAGAGAACAAGAAACTCTGAAGCAACTCTTATTTTCACTAGCTGAACCGGAACCCTATCTACGACTCCGCCTCCCCTTCCCACTCCGATGGCAACTGTGACCAAAGCTCGCAAACGTGTGTGAACGACAAGAAGCTAAATTCAGTATTACCGCCACGGTACCGTAACCCGCAGCGGCGCCCTTTAAACTGGAAGTCTGTCGAAGGCGCGTTAAAAACATCAGCACGGACGCTGAAACTACGCCGGTATTTCATTTTTGTGGGGGAAGAAAAAGATGCAGTCTCCGATGTGTTGTGAGCATTTTCCTATCGAGAAGGATGGCGACTCTGATCTTTAGTCGTTACCATTGCTTCAACACTTTTACCGTTCTGACACGCTTGATCCTAACCGAGTGGTGCGGCATATTACAGACCGGCTTTGCCAGGTCGCTTTGTAAGAACATGATTAACAGCTACTGTCGCTTTATTAGCCTCGAGTCCGCCTTGAAGTGGAGGATAGGTGGTGACTTGCATGCAGCCTTGCGTCAGCGTCCATGACTACGACTTTTCAACCTGGGAATGGAATAATTTTTTTACCTCAAAACATAGTTGCAAACTGTGAAATTCGTCCTTAGAAGTAGAACAAACATTACTGAGGAAACCTAGAGAGCCAAAGTTGGGACAGGAACTGTGGGGCACAGTTTCTCTGTAACACCGCCAAGATGTGACGGTAAATTATGTTAGAAATTTTCATCACAAACATTCTCTACAAGAGTGCATGGTGAAAATTCATGGAATAAGTTGGGAAAGCACTTGTAAAAGAATTTTCTAAGTAAGGTAATTTGGCTCTTTATATTCATGTATTTATTCTCCAATCCAAATACTTAGAAAGAAGCGTTGCCAGCGGTATAAATTCCCTTCCATATGCCAAACATTCAGAGCCTCCCTATCGAGACAAAAGAATTCATAGCGAAATATGTACTAAACTCTCGTCCACACTTGAACACTGCAGTATTTGAAGCATTTCCGCACAATTCCCGTAGTGGTACCGGCGTAAAGTTCGGTGTTATACGTACGTCCACTGCGGAGTTACACAATCACTGGCGCCGCTTTGGGTTACGGTACGTGGCAGGTAATACTGAACTTAGCTTTGCTGTGTGGAAACGTACAAGACCATCGCAATCTGCCCCTCCCTGTCGCACCCCAAACCACTTCCCCGTTTCTTGATGCAGTTATCGGAAATCTGTGTTCCTCTCCTTGAGCATATCTTGTTTTTCACTGTTTATCTCATTACCGATATCAATAAAGTAAAAGTAAAAAGTAATCTGTCGGATCGTCGCGCGCGGCGGATCGTACGGCGAGACGCGGCAAATTCTCCATGCGCACCATTTTGGCGACTGAAGCAGCAAAACTCATATGGATTCAAGCGGAACAAGACTCCGTATGGGCGATATCAAATTTTCCCGTCCCGTCAGCTCTCAACTTCAACAGGCCAGAAAGGGACAACTCGTCCGTCAGGCGCAGCGTCCCTCGCCACGCCCATCAACGCCTCATATTACGATTTTCGTGTCACATCCCCGCATACGAAGTAGTGGAAAAGTGGATGCAATGTC